AACAAAAAGCAAGAATTTCAATACTGATAAAAAAAAGGAGACCCCACAAACATGACTCTTTTTACAGTTTATTGGTTATATATACATATATATATATATATTTATAAAACTACAAAAGTAAGACTTTCAAATTCATAGCTGTTCTTTTAAAACAACAAAAGTAAGACTTTCAAATTCATAGCTGTTCTTTTATCTCATATGTACATACATATATATGTGTGTATATTATGTACAGTCCACAATTGGATCCCAGTACAGTGATCAGCTGATAGTTTCTCTCTCTGTGTTTGTGTTCTATTGCATAGAAAAAGGCACAGCTCTGAGGTCTGTGTAAAATACAGCCTTCTTAGAGGGAATCAGCCTCAGTCTTTCCTGGCAAACTGAACCACCACAACCTTGGACAGCCACAAAACAGACTGGTTAACAAACACTGATCAAAAACGTCTCAGGAGCTTGAATGTTGTTCATACTATGTACACTACTTTTGGCATTGAAGTGTCTATGACAAGCTTTGGAGTCTTGACATCTGAAGGTTGGAGACGGTTTTTGAATATTGCTGCATGAACTGTTCACCTTCAACTAGAAAATGATGAACAAAAGAGTACAAAAAATGTAAAAAGATGGGGCTTCCGACCCACACATGAAAACAACAAAGCAACAAACAAATAAGGTAAAAACTACCAAGTATATAAAAATGGCTTCCACCGATAATTCCACACTCATATACGTTCCTATCTGAAGTATATTCCTACCACACATTCTGTACACACATTTACAATCCAAATGTTCACTTCATGTCAAAAATAAATATATTTACACACAAAAGAAAAAATTATGAACAAATAACTTAACTGACAAAACAAACAAAAACCCCTCCAATATTCAACTATAGTGAAAGAAATAAGATAGTCATCTACAAACAGTATTAGCTGATACTGCTATCTGCTTGGCTCACACTGCTTTGAACTCAATTAAAATGCAGTTCATTTACTGTACATAGTAGCTGAGGTCAAATGCACTCTGGAAAACTAATGATGTTCTATTGGAACAGATTTTAAAGTCAATCAGATCTCACTGCCATTGGCTAAATCAGTAAGAAGTCAGACTGGAATCCAGATAACACTTTCTGTCCTGTTAACAAGTGCTGAGTCCCACCAGAAATATCATTATCATACCATGTGACACCATAAAGTGGCTGTTTGGCAGACTCAGCAATGTTTACATTTTCTTGTGTTATGTGTAACTTTACATTTGAAGGAAAAATCCACCCTCAGTTGTTTCTAACACCTATCGATGACATACCCATCATTTCTAGGTCAATGCAGTGTCTGTCTGTGGTGTCCTTTTCTTATATTGCTTTGAATAACTAACAAATGTAGAAGATATCTATAATGACAAGATACAGATCTCAGCACTTACGGCAGGATTTGATGACAGAACAGTTTAAAGTGATTTAAAACAATATTAAAACTGCACCGAAAGAAAATTTTATACTGTTACTGGATCAAATGATTGTAGTAAAAAACTCAAAGATAATTTTCACTAAAACCTGCAGTTCCCCTTCATTCTATGAAGCGCTTTAGTTCTTTTAGTTCTCGCTTGTTGTTTTGGTAACAGCAACAGACTGCAGACAATGCTAACAATTAGCTCTGTATGTAACTGCAAAATTGTGCTCCCTTCACGAGCTGGTGGAGACCAAAATAGAGTTAAATGGAGGCTGAAAATGTGACTTGAATTTACCGGAAACATGACAGCAAATGAATGTTAATGTATATTATTGTAAACAATCTAACACATTCATCAGAACAGCTTTATAGGGTCACGTGTAAAATGTGTTTTGAGCTTGTTCTGCTTCCCCCAAGTGAATACAACCTTAAACATCAGACTGAGGGCTTTTGTCATTTTGCACTGATATTCAACAATTCAAGAATCTGACCTCACCAAAAGCAGCCTAAACAAAACTACAAACTTTGACATAGCAAATACTGAAATACACTAAACATTAATGACTGCTGATTAGTAAAATTTTTAAGGGTAGATTTTTCCTTCAATGTTTGAGCCAATTGGTTAAAATCAGATTGCACTAACTACCACATAAGAGGCTGAATGATGCCAGTGAATTTCAAATGCTTCTCTCCACTAAGTCTTTTCTAACTATCAAAATACAGCTATCGTGGTGGTGATAATGTTGGTCCAATTCAGAATGGGCTATGTGCAAATTATGGCTAAATATCTGATTCTTGTAAAGGATTATTGTGTGGCTGTAGATGTGTTTGTTCTAAATGAAGGTGAGCAGTCTAAAAAGGCAGACTTAGAGGACAGTAGAACAGCTGTTTTTAGCTTTTGGCCTCTGCTCAATAAGCTCTCCCAGTCATTCCTATCCATTTTCTGGAGGAGCACCACAGTTAACATCCAAATCTGTGAACTTGAGAGAATTAAGTTACCAAACATAATACCAGCATCATTATTTTAAAAACCTAATGGGAAATGTGTGTAAAAAGACTACATTCAACTTAAATACATAGCTCACATACTGTACTGTGGATAGCATATAAAAGGCTCAGCTTTGGACACAGCATTTGACTAATAAACTGGGAATTCCCACTGAATTTGAGTGTTGTCTGCTGGGATAAAACCCAAGTAGACCTTAGGAATATTCATAGGATTACCCTTCTTTTTGTGCCAAAAAATATGCATAGTGACCCCTCCAGGGGTAAATAATATTTTGCATGGTTGAAGTACAAGGTCAATACATGGTTTGGGTTTCCTACCTCAGTAGAAATACACAGTCAAATTATATGCATGATAGATTTAGCCCTCCTACTATTGTATGGATATAAAACATCCATCAGTGAGGAGAAACCTGAAATTTTGACATATAGGAGCTCCTGTTCTAAACGCTAAACTCAAGGTGTGTTTAATACTGTATCTTGTGCTGCAACTTGTCTGTCACACATGGTGCTAATTCTGTAGCAACAAAACCAAACTAAATACTCAACCAAACTAAAATACTCAATTTTCTTTGTGTGGTTGTGAGAACATTTATGAAATCTCATAGGTGCCACACTGACTTTCCCTGCAATCTGTGTTAGCAGTTTTGTATTGAGTCCAAACTTAATATGTGTGTGGTGCCTAAAGGCTTGGGCTGGACTGACAGATCATATACATGTGACTGTGAGGCGAAAGCTGGTGGCGGCGCTGCTGGCGCTTCCAATGTAAACACATAGCTTGCCTGTAGGTGAGGTTCATTTGAATTCTGCTGTAACTGAAGCATGATAACTAGCTCATGTGACCATGCTCATGTAAAATAGCATCCAGCAGTTATACTGTACATGTCTGCCAATAAGGGAAAAAGTCCTGAACTGGATCCATAGACATGATGTGTACAAGAACAGACATCTCCCTTAACTAGAAAGCTGTGTTTTAGCACTATTCCCAAAGCAATAATTATAGAGCCAATTAATGTATCACACTAATAAAAGAATGTATTCCTCATAAAAATGTTTTGTTGATGCTTGCTTTACAAATAAAACACAGCATTTGTAATAAAATAAACATTAAATAGTTATTTGATCATGAGAAATTACTTAATAGTTTTAATACAATATAATAAATTAAAAAACATTGAGGTGTGACCTCTCTAGGCTGTTAAAGTGAACAGAACTAGAAAAAGAAACAAATACTATGAAAACAGGATAAGTGGTCATTTTGAAAGGCACTCGTCTGCTAAAAGCCATTAATTCAGTGTGTTTATGTGTGGCTTCATGTTTGTGTGTGTTCACTTGTATTTCTATAGCTGTGAGAAACAGCAGTCCTTACAATACCAGAATAATTGCACAAAAAAACCCCTCCAGAATGGGGACAATTTGCTGGTCCTCATTTTTTGTATTTTGAGTTACTCTTTAGGGTTAAGGCTTAGGTTCAGGTTAAAGATTATAACTAAGATTTGGTTTACATTAGGTTAGGCAGAGGTGTAGTGCTATTTGATTTAAGTACCGCAGCGCACCTATGACGCACGCTCATGTATGTGCACGGGTAAATTGTGGCTTGTTTCCAGGGCCATGTAAACACTATGTCCTATGGAGGCAACTGTAATTTCCCACACGATCAAATGTTAGACTGACTTCATCTGTGTGTGGCAGAACAATAATGTGAATTAGTAGCCATTTGTCACAGGGTGAATGTTATAGCCATATACACCGATCAGCCATAACCTTATGACCACTGGCAGGTGAAGTGACTATCTGTTACAGTGGAACCTGTCAGTGTGTGGGGTATCCAGCACATCAACTTTGAGGACTGAATGCTGGAAGCAGGAAAAATGGGCAAGTGTAAGGATCTGAGTGACTTTGACAAGGGCCAAACTGTGATGGTGAGATGACTGGGTCAGAGCATCTCCCACACTGCAGGTCTTGGTGGGTGTTCTTGGTCTGCAGTGGTTAGTACCTACCAACAGTGGTCTAAGGAAGGACAAATCGTGAACTGGGAACAGGGTCATGAACGCCCACAGCTAACTGATAATGAGGCTGACCTACTGTAGATTAAACTTTAACTTCCATTTGTACTTTTCAAAAAATTAAAATTTATAAAAAATTCTCTAACTTGTCCTCACAATCACAGTTTTCACCTTTTACATACGTTTTTCACTGAATTGTAGACATCTATCTAGACAGAATTCTGACTTTGAAATTCTGAGATGAAAGTCAGAATTCTAGAATGTTGACTTCCTAGAATGTCGACATTCTAGGAAATCCGCATTCTAGAATTATGACTTTCATCTCAGAATTTCAAAGTCAGAACTCTGGCTTTAAACTCAGAAGTCTGGATACCTGTAAGGATCCAAGTTCAGTGAGTGAGAGAGTGGCTTTGAGTCATGCAAGCACTCACACATTCATGCACCGGTGTCATCACCGGGAGCAACTGGGGGTTCAGTGTTTTGCTCAAGGACACATCGACACTTCGACTTGACAAGCTGGGAATCAAACCACTAATCCTCCGGTTAGGAGACAACCCGCTCTAACTCCTGAGCCACAGCCACCACTTCTATGTAAACAGTATTAGGCAGGTGGTTATAATCTGGTGGTTATACACCTGATCGGTGTATAATCTTATTACTAGGGCATAATCTTGCTCTGCTTTGTGTTGGTTTATATGTGAAGCACATCAGCTATGTGTGGGGCTCATGACTGGTTTAACACCTGCCCGAGTTTGACCAACTTATGCCCTGCTTGTGTCATATACAGCTGATCTTTCACAGGTAAAACTGTCTGTTTAAATCCCAGCATCACTTAAGTTAAATGTAAAGTCTGCTTCTGCTGCTGATTGTTGCATCTGATGCTTGTCTTCACGGCCCCTTCTGGAGACTTATGCCCTAGTCTGTCAGTCTGGATGATCTGAGCTTTTTTCTGTCACTTATCTTTTGTAAATGGAGTCTTAGTTGACACTAAACTGTGTCGCTGTGAACCATTCACATTATGTGATTGGGCAAAGTGCACAAACATTTGCAGGCGCCAGTTCTGCATGACGCACATCGCTGAGTCAATCTTATGAATCAATCACACCTTAAATTTTAATATCACAACTTAGAGCATTCGACTTAGCTAGATATGCACTTTACTGATGATTGGATCTCACAATAATATAATGTTATGACTCAACCAGATAATGCAAATAGGCCTATTTTCTCTCCTCTCTTGGAGAAAGGGAAGTGGCGGTGTGTTATTCTGGTGCATTCCAGCAGCACTACTCCTATGGGGTTAGGGAATGAACGGAGTCAAAAGGCGTCCTCACAAGTATAGAAATACAAATAAATGTGTGTCTTTGTTTCCCAGTTTCTTCTTTTCCATATTTGGAAAAGCAAGCACAGTGCATGCACAGTGTTGTGTAGTAGTAGCAGTTGTCATAGTAGTACTAATTGACATCACCATCAATGTTTACAATTACCGACATTTAAAGAGAGTAAAAAAAAACAAAACAAAAAAAAAAACATTAAAACCACCACCAAGTAAGACCCAAAGCGATCCCAAAATTTCATTTCAGTCTGTTCTCCAGACTAACCATTTTTCAGAGCCAGTGGTGTCTGTGAGTCACGAACCCACCAACACCTCCATGATGTGGTCCAGTTCTGTCAGATCAATTTTGAAAGGCTGACTGGCTGAAACCTGGGGCGTGGGGCCATTGTATGGTGAAGCCAGTGATTTAAGAAGGTCATCTGCTGTCACTACTGGCGAGAGTTTGGTGAGGCTGCCTCCTGCTGTCAAACCCATGGACCCGGCTGTCGTACATGGGTCAAAGTCGTACATGGATGTGTCAATGTCAGCAAACAGGACATCGTCCAGCGCCAAGTCTGAGAGAAACCCCGAGGGCGAGGAAGAGGAACCAGGGGACAAAGGAGAGGATGAAATGTCTATTAGGCCACCAGGGGGCAGCACGGGTAGAGTGTCCATGGACCGGAGCTCTGCACAGCGAGCCTCCGCTAGCAATATGCCGGGTGGCTCTGATTTAGCACCCATGGTCCTGCAGTCTCTAGGTGTGCCTGTTGGTGTTATAGAGAGGGCTGTAAAGTGAGAGGACTGGTTGAGTGGTGTGGGAGCTGAGGAGGTAGTCACAGTCGTAGTATTAGCTGCTGCTGTCCTTGTTATGGCTGTGGGAAGACTCAACTCCATGTCACTCAGAGTGGAGGTGAAACCATCAATTGATGAGGCAGGCACAGGGACCCTGGGAGAAGCCTGGCTCAGAATTGCTGAGGGTAATAGAAGAGGCTGCACTGGGGGAGGTGACAGAGGAGGAGTGGGTGGGGATGGAGCACAAAAGGCTGACTCTCCACCATCCTCCTCCAGTAAAGAGGCTGGAGTGAGGCAGGCTTCCAGAGGGGTGGGGCAGGCATCCACATGGTTGAGGCAGGACTGGGATGCCTGTAAACTTGGAGGCACCATTGGGTGGGGTGAAGGCGGCGGAACAATCACCGGTATCAACAGCGCAGAAGGCTGGGATACCTGTGCTGTTGCTGCTGTTGACAAAACAGCAAAGGCGGGTGCTGCCTCACGGAAGCCCTCATCCATGGGGTCATCAGGCGGTGGCGATGGTGGCAGGAGCAGTGGGCGCAGTGAGCCTTCCTGCTTGAGTTCGTCCTGGATGCGTCGCAGCATGTTGTTGATTAGGACACGGCGTTCCAAGCTGGGCTCAACAAGAGGCCGCTGGCTGTACAGTTTCATCAGGGAAATGTTGAAGATGGTCTGACGCTGCAGGGTATACGACACCTTGGACAGACACTCTGGACCAAGGCCTAGACCCCCTCCTGCCAGAGACACCTCCAGCGTTTTGCCTTCCATCCCCTCTTCATCCTCATCCAGCTTCCGCTTGGCACCTTTACCGAACATATATCTGAAAAACAGAGACAGGAGATAGTTCATTCGAGACTCAACTTGGAAGTTGGTAACAATACAAGGCAACAAAGATGTCATCTAGGCCTTCTGAAAGTAACATATTCAAATGACTTGTGTTGTCTAATCAAGTCTAAAACCCCAAATGTCAATCTAGTGTCAAATAAGAAAAAAGAAAGTAGCAAATGTTTGGTCAGTTCGTTTCTTGTCAATTGAGTTTAGTTAATTAGTTCATCAGTAGTGGTGTGATGATACACTTAGCTCATGACATGAGATGATATATAATATTGGATTAAAGAGATGATATGATATTTTAATACATTTTTTAAGAAATTTTCAATGACAAAATAGATAACTGGAAAATAGTATTATTTGACTGAAAGTCACAAAATGCAAAACAATGCAGGTGCATTTTGAAATATTTTAACTAACCATCTTGCAGTGAATGTCACTTTAGTTCTACTTTCTGAGTATGAATCATCATATGCAGTGAAAGGCAATATTCAAGCACTGTAAAAGGTTTTGCTACAAACTCAACTGACTGGCTTCTCTCCTGTATGATTTCACATGAGTCTTTTCAGACTCATAACTGCACAGGAACTATGCATGAACTTCTGGTTTCTAACTGAAACTGTGTGTGACCTATGTTATTTTGACCCTCACAGCACCGCACTGATCTGGCAAAGGTGATGTGCTGACCAATTATACTGGAGACGCTCAGGACATGGACGCCCACAGGAAGAAGACTCTTGTTTATCTTGTTAGCATAAACATCCACTGCTATTCACAGTTGAATTTGGCATGCAATTTCATTAGTATTGGATGTTAAACTGTGTTTTTTATCCATCATTGCTGACACACTGGTGGTATCATTGGTGCCACGGTAGAGTAGAATGGCAAACTAAAATACAAAGGAATCTCACGGGCTGGAGACGTGAATGAAGCCAGTTATGTCAACTTGTCACAAAGTGGCCATATTGTACATGCCTATAACACTCCCCCCCCCCCCCCCCCCCCCCCCCAATATTCCACTGTGGTGTTTGTCAAGTCTTGTAACTTCAGTCATAGTTAACTGTTCATCAGAGTGATGGCGCGGGGAAAGAAACTGTCATTGTGTTGGGATTTTTGTACAGTAATTTCCGGACTATAAGCCGCACCCACTAAATGTAAGACAAAAAAACATGTTGTACATAGCCGCAGGTGTCCACGCTGTAACATGAGATATTTCGACAGCCAGATCGATCGCCTGTAACTTGAAGCAGCATCATATGCATTTCGTCATGTGTTGTCCATGATGAAGGTGTGTGCATGAAGCGACAAAAGTAGCGGCTTAAAGTCTGGAAAGTGTGGTATGTTGACTGACATCCAATACCATTACTGGATCTCAGCATTAAATTATCACTGAAAAACCACATCTAATCTCACTGAAACTGTGTATATTCACCAGTGATGTTTTCAGACTGAAACCCAGCAGTTTAACCATGGTGATTCAAGAAGCTGCTTAAAGAAACTACAGCATAATTAGCCCTTCCTGTGGGGGTGTTCCCCAACGTGAGGCTGCTCAGAAGTGATTCTCACAGAAACTTGCATGATCAAATATGACTTCAGAACAAAACAAAAATGGAGGCGGACATCTGTCATCAAACAGTCACACTCGCAAGTGCTATGTTTTGTGCAGAGAAAAAAAAGAGGAGAAAAATATTGTGGGTAAAGTCTTGGCTGAGAAGACAAAATCAACACGGCATACACATTTGGCAGCACAAGATGGAGGTGAGCTAGAGGCATAATGATTAGGTCTCTCAACATCTAACACTAGAGGATTATTTGGCCTGAGAATCACTTCTAAGGGGCCTCACGTCAGGAAAAGCTCCTATGATTATTGGGAAGGGCAAATCAGGCTAATTATCCTGTATTGTAGGGCCAGCTTAAGTATCAGGCCTGTTTGATATTTATGACCTGGAATCCTGTAGTGTGGGGGCAACAGCAATTGAATCCTAACCAGACACCTGCAACAGCCAATGACAGCAAGCTAGTCAGGAAACATCACAGCTGGACAGTAACATTAACTTGTAGCATTAGCTTGCACCAGCCTCCTCATTTGAGTAATACAACTTTATTTGCAACTCACCTCCAGCTTGTGCTGCAAAATGTGTAAGCAGTGTTGATTTCTTCTTTTCCACCAAGACTTCATCCAGTTTTTTCCCTTTTTTATCTCTGCACAAAACAAATGCTACTGCTTGACGATGAATGTCTGCCTCCATGTTTGTTTTGTTCTGAAGTGACTTTTGATCACGCAAGTTTATGTCAAGTGTATGTCTCTTGACTGAATCTATTGTGTGTGCTCTTAAGATTCAAATGTGAAAAAATAGGTAAATCTGTCATCATGTCTGTGGTCTCTCATGTTTTTAAAACTTGATTAAAATTATAAAATCCTCTAGTGTGGGCCCAGCCTTACTGCAACAAGGAATTTAAAAAACACACTGAAACCTGGAGCAGCTGCAATTGGAGCCTTGCCACTGCACACACACACAGTTATGTAATAGCAGTGTTGCCTGCTGTACCACAGGATCATAGGCCAGGTTTAAAGCCCATCCCCCTCCAACCTCCTTACTCCTCCCATATTAGAATAGCACATTGAGTTACTTAGAGAGGGAGTGGGATGGAAGGCAAGAGACATACAGTATGAGAGAAAAGAGAGCAAGCCATGGAGTCCCTAAATATATATATTACAGTAGTTTAACAGCTCTCTCTATCTACTCAAACCATCTGATGGTGTCAGTTTTGGTGCTGCAAAGAAAGAAAGCGAGCAAACAGGCATTGCTGCAGCATGTTTGACTCTAATCCATGCTGACAAGCTCATGCAGCCAGTTGCTGTCTACACATACATATTGCGCATGCGTCTCCTTACACACAAAAACACGAACATACAACCACACATACACAGGAAGTATGAGCTGCAGGCCCAGTCACCATGACTGGTTGGTTGCCATGACAAACAGAGTCAGCTGGGAACTCACCCAAAGAGATGACAAAGAATAGGATGGGGGAGAGGGGGTAAAGGAGATGGTGGTGCTGGGGAGCAGGAAGGAAGAGGAGGAAGACAAAAGAGGAGAAGTGAGACTAGGAAGCAGAGGCCTAGGTGAGAGACTGGTCTGGAAAAGGTGGGAGAGGAATGAGCAATGTTCTCTCCTCTCTTAGTAAAAATCTATAACTGAGGTGTCTCTGAGCAAGGCACTGTTAGATGTTAGTAAATCAGTCAGATAATCATCAGACATTAATGTGTTAGACTTTAATGTGTTAGTAATGCAGTATGCTAAGATTCAAAGTCTGCTCTAGTCTGCTGTTTCAAGGTTGACAGAATGTTGATTCTGAAAAGTGTACCTTGACACCAATTGTTTTCTTGTATTAATCCTGTGTTAGAATTATGTCTGAAAGAATGTTTTAGTTACGCACCATGTGACAACACACACACATACACACACACGGAATTCTTCATTTTGTTATGGCCAGCGGTTCCATGCAGCTGGAGCTCTAGATAAGAGAAGGAAATGTCGGACTGTCTCCGTCTCGTGATGTTTTGTAATCTTTTTGTGTAAGGGGTTACCCAAAAACTTATAAATGTATTAGGCTCTGTGTTTCCGGGAGCTCCTTTCTTCTAGCAGCTTACAATTTTACAGCTACCTCCTCTCCATTTGTGATGTTGATGGCCAGATATATGTCGCCGAAAGATCCCGATCCAATTTTTCTGACAAGCTTGTATTGTCAATTGTTAAGCTATTCTAGGTTAAGCTAACCATGTCCCAGCCATCCACTCCATCCATAGCTGACACACACTGAAACACATCAATATGACCAATTTATGAACGCTTCATTCATGCTTTGTGCATCCGCAAGTCTACTAAGGGCAAATGATTTAATTTTTGTCATCTTCCCTAGTCCACGAGGGTCCACAAAGACCATGTGGACGTCCGCATGCAGGCCAAAAGCTTGTGTCTGCGCAGACAGTTTGCAGCGCAAAAGCCGCGATTGCGCATGTATCACAATGCTTAGAAACAGTTGGTGTACGCGGACAGAACATAAACCCTCGATTTGAAGTATGAATAGGAACACGTGCGTGTACCTCATCTGTATGCGTATGCATAAGGGAATGCACAAAGCATGTCTGACTCTCAAGTCTTGTCTCACTCCATTGGCAGGAAATCAAACAAATAAAAGAG